CAACGAGGCTTGGGAAAGCCCCGGGGCCCACCACACAGGCAAACGGCTCTTCTGCCTGTGCCTCTTACAGAAGTGACATTCCGAGAAGACTAACGGCAAATTCCCACCGGCCTTTTGGAGCAAGAAAGCTCCAACACTGTATCTCAGTCTGTTGCTATCTTGCTTCTTCCCAGGGGCCCCGAAGGGAACTTTGTGAGAAAGCAAATCAATAAAGGTCGAGCCCAGCCCGCGTGGCTCAGTGGTTGAGCATCGACCTATGAACCAGGATGTCATGGTTTGATTCCCAGTCAAGGCACATACCCGGGTTTCAGGCTTGATTCCCAGGGTGGGGTGTGCAGGAGGCAACTGATCAATGATTCCCTCTCATCATTGATGTTTTCTCTCTCTCCCCATCTCCCTTCCTCTCTAAAATCAATAAAAACATATAAAAATAAATAAAAATCTAAAACTTGATCTACCTGTAAAGTGCTCCCTTCTGAGTTCTCATTAATTCTTTTTAAAATATATATATATATTATTGATTTTTCACAGAGAGGAAGGGAAAGGGATAGAGTTAGAAATATCGATGAGAGAGAAACATCGATCAGCTGCCTCCTGCACGCCCCCTACTGGGGATGTGCCCGAAACCAAGGTACATGCCCTTGACTGGAATCGAACCTGGGACCTTTCAGTCCGCAGGCCGATGCTCTATCCACTGAGCCAAACTGGCTAGGGCTTGTTATTGTTATTAATTCTTTTCCAGTCAAATCTCTTGTGTGTGTGTGTGTTTTAGGGGAGGCAGGGTGGTCATATGCCATCTACAAATAATGTTATCTCTTTCTTTACAATGCTCACACACTTATTTCTTTTTCTCATCTGATTGCTAGGGCTAGTATCACCAAAAAAGTGTTTCACAGCCGTGTTGACCGTGGGCATCCTTGTCTTATTTAAGGAGCAGTGTTTTATCATTGAACTAGAGGCCTGGTGCACGAAAATCGTGCACTGGAGGGGGGTGTCCCTCAGCCCAGCCTGCACCCTCTCACAGTCTGGGAGCCCTCGGGGGATGTCCGCTTGCTAGCTTAGGCCTGCTCCCTCTGGGGATCAGGCCTAAGCCGGCAGTCAGACATCCCTCTCACAGTCCCAGGCCGCCCTTGCTCCTTACTGCCCGCCTGCAGCGGAGGCAGGAGAGGCTCCCGCCATCACCGCTGCCCTCGCCAGCCTGAGCCTGGCTTCTGGCTGAGCAGCGTGCCCCCTGTGAGAGTGCACTGACCACCAAGGGGCAGCTCCTGCGTTGAGTGTCTGCCCCCTGGTGGTCAGTGCGCGTCATAGCGACCTGTGTTCTGCAGCTCCATCGATTTGCATTTTACCCTTTTATTATATAGGATAGGATGCTGGCTTGAGACATCAATCAACCACTCATTGAGAACACTCCTGTGAGACCAACTGGCCTGCCTGTGTAAGTTCTGCACCTGAGCAGACAACTCAGCCCCGGAAACAAGGTGCTCACACTGTGGGCTGGGAGAAGGGACGCCCAGAACTGCAGGGCCGGGGAAGCGGGTCCTCACCATCTTTCCAGATCTCCGCCGTCAGCCGGTCTGTGCTCTGGTGCAGCAGGGCGGCCACATTGTCATTCAGAGGGTCCATGTTCTTCATCAGCCACTCATTGGCCTTGTAGTCGACCTGAGTGGAGTCGGGCACGGGAGGGGGTGAACTTGCAGGTTCGGGGGCTCTCCTGAGTTCTCCAGGAGCCGCCCCAGAAGTTCTGAGGCTCCGGCTCTGGGGTTCACCACCGGAGAGCATTGGTGCCACCTTGTGTCCATCTCTGGAACTGCACCCTCCGCCGGCATGACCCCTCTCCCTGTGCTTCCCGGTCCACCTCTGACCTCGTCCACTTTCTTCCTTATTCATTCCACTCCAGACACACGGGCTTCCACGCTGTTCCTCAAACGTGCACCTCACTTCCTCCTCAAGATTTTACCCCTGTCCCCCCCCACCCCTGCCTGGGAGTCCCTCGCTGTGGCATTTCCCACGGACGACTGCTTGGGAGAATTCAGGGTTTTGTTTTGAGGCGTCACAGTCTTAACCACAACACCCTGCATATGTCCCTCCCACCAGACAGGGGCTCCCTGAGGCCAGGGCCCGGGCCTCTCCCAGCCCAGCACAGAGCTAGGCACACAGGTCTTAGAAAATGTTTGGGAAACTTGGTGCCCTACACAGGACACACAGGGCCCTGCCTCCCAGCCGCCGTGCATGCTGTTCCCTCCGCCTGCAGAGCCCTTCCCGCCCTTCCCCCGTCCTTTCTGGCCCCTGTCACACATCATTTAGGCCAGACAGCCCACAGGCCAGATCGGGCCCGCCACCTGTTTTTGTAAATAGCGTTTTACTGGAATACGGCCTTCATTTATGAGTTACCGGTGGCTTCCTTCACACTGCAGTGTCAGAGCAAGCAAGTGGTTGTGACAGAGTGTCTGGCCCACGAAGCTGAAGCTATTTACAGAAAATGTTCGCTGGCCCTTAGTTTAGGTTTCAGATCAAGCGCTGCTCTTCTCTGTGAAACCGTCCCTGGGGCTCCCACTCTGGGCTTTGACACTGCCCTTAGGGGCCCTGACCAAAGCACCCGCCAGCCTTACATGCCAATAGTTTGTATTTGTCTTTCTTCCAGAGAAGGAACTCAGTAAGCACAGAAACCATGTCTGACTTGGGCCCCTGACTTTGCTCAGCACAGGGCTGAGTGCACAAGGACGTCTGTTTGCTGAGTGAGTAGATAAAATGCACATGATTCTCCTCTTGGCGAACTCCTACCCACCCCTCAAAACCTGCTATGAAAATCCCCTCCTCCAGGAAGCCATTGTTGACTTCACCAGACAGAGTCCTCACTCCTCCCGGGGCTTTCCTAGCCCCTGGCCTGGCTGTGTCCTGTCCCAGTGGACCTCCGGTGGTCGGCACCCTCCCCCCCATCTGTAGCCAAGGGGCCCCCACTCCCACCCACGTGCCCCGAGGTGGCCCCGGCCCCCTACCTTGCCCGCGTAGTGCAAAACGCTGAAGTCGGCCTGGTCCCGCAGCTGCCGCGGCCGCTGGAACTTGGGGTGGCCGCCCTGCTCCTGCGCCACCTTCTCCACGAAGGACTTGTCCGTGGCCTTGGGGAACCAGCACTCCTCGTCCAGCAGGGCCAGGAGCCCAGGCGGGTTGGCCTGACCATTGACAGGAAGGGAAAGCGAATCAGGTCCCCAGATCTGGGCACTTAGGCGGTGGCTGGTTTTTAGTTCTTATAACTGACACGTGGATGTCGGGCGGAACGTGAGGACAACAGTGACAGCGACAGCCACGGATGGAGCCGGCCCTGCGGCAGCTCGTCCCGGGGTCACACAGATCTGGGCTGTTTTCTCC